TGGATGGATGGACTGAACAGATAGGTGGATAGACTGATGAACAAATGGATGGATGCATGGATGGATGGATGAGTGGATAGATAGAAATGCTGAGAAAAAGAGAACCAGGTACATTTACAGCAATGTCAGCAGCTTAGTATAAATGCATGTCTTTCCAACTGGACAGCTTCAAACGTCAACTTGTTCACTTGGGTATACAATGTCTGGTGTGTTTGTGAGGCAGCCTCTTTATCTGATAATGGTTCCTCATAGGAAGTCTGCCTCAGGCCTCCCATGGCACTCTGTTTTGGACCTTTCCAATGCATTTATTTGGATCAAAGGTGCTACTTCCTAACCAGACTCTAAGGGGGTAGTGACTATGTTCTAATCTAAACTTTGTATTTCTCTTGGCCAGGAACAGTACTCTGCACATAAGCACACGTTGATTTGACTGATGGATAAGCTCCTGAGGCTATATTCTTTTCTAATGGCCTTGGTCCATAAATTTTGGTAATTAACTCTATTCACTGCTTCATCAGGTAATTTTGTTTGTTTTAAAATTCCTTTTATTTTGGTCTGTACCTGTGACTTCATGGGTATAGAGAGAAAACTCCCTCTACCAATACAGCAGCTGTTCTACAGTTTATATGCCTGGAAAGTTGCCTAGCCACTGAGTGAAATGGTCCCTGGGATTCCACAGCCCACGTATGTGAGGGCAGACATAAAGTCACATCTACTTGAATCTAAGGGAGGCCCACATGCCTCTCTCTGTAGGATGTTTCTATACATCTATGGATTGTAGAGCTGGAAAGGACCTTTGAAGATTCAACTCTTTTTTTTTAACAAATTAGGAAACTATCTATGGATCGATAGATAGATGGATGGCACAGGGTGAGTTGAAGATGAAGGGGTGATATCTGGAGAATAAAATTAAAAGAGTGAGAGAGGATTATATGGAGAGAAGGAGAAAGGGAGAGGTAGAATGGGGTAAATTATCTCACATAAAACAGACAAGAAAAGACTTTTACAGTGGAGGGGAAATGGGGGAAGGTGAGAGGGAATGAGTGAATCTTATTCTCATCAGATTTGGCTTAAGGAGAGAATAACATACACACTCAATTGGGTATGGAAATCTATCTTACCCTACAGGAAAGTAAGGAGGGTTGAGGGGACAAGAGAGCAGGAGGATGATAGAGGGGAGGGCAGATTGGGGGAGGGGGTAATCAGAAGCAAACACTTCTAAGGGTCAAAAGAGAAAATAGAATAAATGGAGGGCAGAATAGGATTAAGGGAAATATACTTAGTTTTTCCCAAAAAAAAAAAACAAATAAGGAAACTGAGGCTGAGAGGGGACTTCACTTAACTAAAGTCATAGACAGCAAATAGCAGATTCAGGGTTTCAATCTCAGAACCTCAGAAGTGGCAAGTTGTCCAAGCCTTCCCTAAACAAGAATTCCTTTTGAAATACATCCCTCCCTAGTATTTTTGAAGGCTCAGCTCAAATGCCACCTCTTACTAGTAACTTTCCCAGACTCTCCTAGTTCAGGGGTGGAGAACCTGCGGGCTTGAGGCCACACGTGGCCCTCTAGGTTCTCAGGCGCGGCCTTTTGACTGAGTCCAAGTTGTACAGAACAAATCCTTTTATTAAGGGAATTTGTTCTGTGAAGTTTGGATTCAGTCAAAGGGCTGCACCTGAGGACCTAGAGGGCCACGTGTGGCCTCAAGCCCACAGGTTCTCCACTTACTCCACGTTGTTCACATCTCCATCCCTGTGAAGCTACTTAGTATTTTTTAAACAACTTATCCATGTCCATGCCCACTCCCCTCAGTATGGGAGTTCCTTGAGAGCACGGTAGGTTTAGCCTTTTTGCCTTTGAATTCCCAGCTCCTGGCATAGGGCCTGGCACATGGTAGAAAAGAAAAAGTGGAAAAAAGTATAGACTATGGTGTCAACGTCTGTGTTAGATACCTAGCTCTGCTGCTTGCTGCTCATATGACCTCAAGTCAACCTCTCTGGGCCTCAGTTTCCTCATCTGTAAAATGAGAGGGTCCCTCAAATAAGGTCCCTTCCGGCTCTAAATCTATGACTTTATGATTAATTGAATGGAGTTGGGAACAATGGCTCATCTAGCCTTTGATGGATAGCTTCCAGTGATGTGGAGCTCCCTACCTCCCTAGGCTATCCCTTCCCACTTTGGGATAACTCCGCTGCTAGAAAACATGTTCCAAACCCAAATCTGCCTCCCTGTAACTTTCACCCATAAACCCCAAGTTCTTCCCTGGGGCCAGACAAAGCAAGCAAACGAATCCCTCTTCTATAAGACAGCCTTTCCAGTGCTGGGAGACAGAGGGTAGCCTTAAATGCCATGGGCCTGCCCCTCCCATCTGGCTGTTTCCAGGAGAATTGGGCCCTCGGACTGGTCCATGTGTCTCCAGCAAGACCATGAGTTCCTAATTTAATTTAAAAACAAAAAAAAAGAAAGAAGAAAACCAAATTACCAGTATCAAAAATGAAAATAGATAAATCTTTGATTTAATTAAAAAAGAAAGAAGACCGTGAGCTCCCTAATGCTAAGTCCTTTCTATTACCCCCACCCCCACTCCACCAAGCACTGAGCCTTTGCCAACTAAGTAAATGTGAAGGGGATGAAATGTCTGAAGTTTCTGTGGGGCCAATACTTCCTGTGGAGGGGCTCCCAGCTCCCCTTATGGTAAAGGCTTCCTTCTTTTTGCTTTTTCAAGAGTTCTCTTCCTCCATCACCTTTTCCCCTCCCTCCTCTTTTCATCTCCCCCTTCCAATACCCACCCCTCCACACAGAGCTTAGGATCATGAACTTGTAGACTAGCTGTGTGACCCCGGGCATGGCATCTAATCTCTCAGGGCTCTTAGATGCTAAGTTACCAATAAGTGTGGATTGGTGCATTGGGAGGAAGGGGTTTCCTCACCTGGGAGTTCCCTTTGTTGTTGTTTGCTTCTATCAGTCATGTCCAACTCTTCACAACCCCTTTTGGGTTTTCTCAGCAAAGATACTAGAATAGTTGCCATTTCCTTCTCCAGCTCATTTTACTGATGAGGAAATGGAGGCAAATAGGGTGAAGTGACTTACCCAGGGTCACACAGCAAGTCTGAGGCCGGATTTGAACTCAAGAAGATGAGTTGTTTTAACTTCAGGCCCAGCACTCTATCCACTGCACCACCTAGCTGCCCACCGCACCACCTAGCTGCCCACTGTGCCACCTAGCTGCCCTTGGTCAACAATAATAGGTAGCATTTACATAGCACTTTTAAGGTTTGCAAAGCACTTCACCAAGATCATCTCATCTGATCCTCACAGTGACTCTGAAAGGTAAGTGCTTATTAACCCCTTTTTTACAGTTGAGGAAACTAAGGCAGACAACGGTTAAGTGACTTGCTCAGGGTCACACAGATACTAAAGATCTGAGGCTGGATTTGAACTTGGGTCTTTCTGTCTCCAGGCCCGTCACACCCAGCTGTCTTAGCAGCTGCAAGTCACTGAAATGGGCCTCAGTTTCTTCATCTATAAAAGGGTTAGGGGCAGCTAGGTGACACAGTGGCTAGAGCACCGGCCCTGAAGTCAGGAGGACCTGAGTTCAAATCCGGCCTCAGACCAAACACTTGACACTTACTAGCTGTGTGACCCTGGGCAAGTCACTTAACCCCAATTGCCTAAAAAAGAAAAAAAGGGGGAAAAATTTGTTCTGATTCTTCTTTTGCAACATGACAAATGTGGAAATATGTCCAACATGATTGTATACGTATAACCTATACCAGATTGCTTGCTGTCTTGCGGGGGAGGGGAAGGAAGGGAGGGAAGAATAAAAATTTGGAACTCAAAATCTTACAAAAATGAATGTTAAAGACTATCTACATGTAATTGGAAAAAATAAAATACTATTAAAAAAATTTTAATTTTACATAAATAAAAATTTAAAAAAGAAAATGACCTATTTGGGCAAAGTACAAAGTACCTATTTATAGCAGCTATTTTGGTAATGGCAAAAAATCAGAAACTGAGGGAATGCTTGTCAACTGGGGAAAGGCTAAACAAACTGATTGACACAATATGATTTTGATATGATTGTGACAGAATACTATAGTGTGCTAAGAAATGATGAGCAGCATGCTGTCAGAAAAACCTGCAAAGATTTACATGAACTGATGCAAAGTGAGCAGAACCAGAAGAACACAGCACACAGTAACCACAATATTGTACAATGATCAACTGTGAATGACTTAGCTATTCTCAGCAATACAATGATCCAAGAAAATTCTGAAGGACTTATGATGAAAAATGCTACCCACCTCCAGAGAAAGAACTGATAGAATCTGAGGACGTATTGAAGCACACTATTTTTTTATTTTTTTTTCCTTAGGGTTTTTTTGTCTGTCTTCTTTCACAACATGACTATTATAGAAATATGTTTTACTTGACTACACACACATATAACCTTTATCAAATCGCCTACCATTTCAGGGAGGGTAGAAGGGAATTTGGAAATTGTAAAATTTGTAAAAGTGAAGGTTTAATATTGTTTTTACACATAATTGGGAGAAAATATTAAAATCCAACAGATAATAAGAAATGATGAGCAGGCGGACTTCAGAAAAACCTAGAAAGACTTGTATTGGACTGATGCTGAGTGAAGTGAGCAGAACCAGGAGAACACTGTACACAGCAACAGCCACGTTGTGCAATGACTAACGTTGATAGACTTAGCCCCTCTGAGCAATGCAAGGACCTAAAACATCTCCAAAGGTTTCATGATGGAAAATGCTATCCATATCCAAAGAAAGAACTATGGAGTTTGAATGCAGATTGAAGCATGCTATTTGCTTTTTTTTTTCTGTTTTGTTTTGTGTTCTCTTTCTGGTGATTCCTCCTATTGGTTCTAATTCTTCCTTACAACATGACTAATGTGAAAATATGTTTAATAGAAAAGTATATGTATAGCCTATATCAGATTGCATGCCGTCTTGGGGAAAGAGGTGGGGAGAGAGAGGGACGAAAATTTAAACTCAAAAGCTCATGGAAGTGATTGTTGATCAATCAAAATAAATTAATTTTAAAAATCCAATAGATAAATAAGGGGTTAGAATAGATGGCCTAAGGTTCCTTCCAGTTTGACATCCGACTGTCTAAAAATTATAATAATAATAATAATAATAGTGTTAATGGAAGGAGTTTTCATACAAGGAAATCACCAGGGAAATCATTGGTCCAGACTTCTCCCCTAGATTCCCCCCAAAGAAAACTTTGGGAAATTTTTTTCAGATTTTTAGGAGTTGTTATATGAAGTAGGGAACATTATCCCCATCTTACAGATGAGAAAACTGAGCCAAAGAGAGATTAAGTGGCTTACCTAAGAACATGCAGCTATTGAGTGTCAAAGGTAGGCTTTGAACCTCGGTCTTCTGAACTTTCAAGGCCAGCACTGCCCACCACGCTGCCTTGCCTCTTCTTGACTGACAATTTCACACTCATGTTTAACTTGCAGTCCACTGAACTCTCTTCCCTCCCAGTCCTTCTTCAGGCTGAGTTAAATCAAATTACATCTGTGAGCACACAGCCCAGAGGAGCCCAGTACTACAAAGAAATACCTCCCAAGTCAGTGATGAATTAGGATTTAAAGGTTCAAAATTATGACTGTGATTTGGTTTAATAAGTTCAAAAGTATGATTGTTAGGGTGCCTCATCTAATGTCTTTAATGATTATTTAGAAAGAGCAGATAACAAACCATAGATTACTATTCCTAATAACAGACTATCAGTGCAAAGAAATTATATACGAAAATAAATGTTTAGAAACAGAAGCAAAGTATTCTGTCTGCAAATGCCTCCAGGCTCAGACCAAACAGTCCCCCTTATAAGATTCGCCTAGTTGTGAGAGATCCCCCTTCCCCAATACTTTGTATTTATTTCATCTATTTACTTATCATCCTCGTACAGGTATAATCCTCCCCACCCCCAGCAGACTGTGAGTTTCTCCAGGCTAGGCCCCATTTTGTTTTTTTACTCTGTCTTATAAGTGTCTAGCACACAGTAGGGGCTGAATAAATGCTTGCTAAAATAAACTGAATTTAATTTGGCTACCCTCCCCACTCTGTTCTCCAAGGTCTGAAAACAAGTCCAGAAATGCCTCGGGTCAGAGAATCTGAGTCGCGGTTGTAAACCAGCAAGCAGATAGCTCAATTATCCCCAGGTCAGCTCAGGCCTCACCACCCTCGATGCCCTCCATGAAGCCCTGCAGAACACTTGGCATATTCTGAAAAGAGACAAGAAAACAAGACATTGGAAAATTTCCACCACAGGCCACCTGGAAGATCTTATTTCCTTTTACAAATACCTCTTGGGCCTCTGATTCATTTATACACTGTCTGTATAATCCCAGACAAGGCACTTAAGCTCTCTTGGAACCACTCTGTAAGTGGCAGAAACAGGGGTGGTCTGCAGAGTCAGGGGGAGTGCCCTAGAGACCATTGTGATCACCGGTGGATAAACATTAAGTGCCTACTATGTGACAGAGGTCCAGTTCCTCTCCTCTTAGGTCTATGATGTGCCCGACACTGCATTGGACTAAGGGAATGATGGATGAGTCCCCACCATCTTCCTTATTAAATGTGTCACCTTGGACAGCTCACTGAAACTCCCTAGACCTTGGTGGCCCTGTGTTTTACATGAGAGTTAGGGATAAGACAGATAGAACCATATGGTTCTATAAGATGAAGCAGATGCAGTCCCTTCCATCAAAGGAACATCGAGAGGAATATAAATACCTCTCAGGAAGCTCCCTGGAATGTTCTCACCACTCACCTCCTCCTCACTCACCTCCTCCTCACTCACCTCCTTCTCTCAAAATATCGCAGTTCCTTCAAGACCTGAATCAAAGTCCCTTTATATAAGAGGTCTTTCCTGGCTCTTGCCACCTCCACCCCTCATCCCAAAATTATTTTGTATCTTCTTCATGTTGACTTGACTGTGTGTGCTTCTCCACAGTGGAATGGAAGCTCCTTGAGGGCAGGAATGGTTACTTTTCTTTGTTTTTGTATCTCCTGAGCCTAGCACATAGTAAGTGCTTAATTAATGCTTGTTGAACTGAAACTGAAATGTCCATAGTCCCTTTATGCCCCTTGCAGGGCAGAAGGCAGTAATTCAATAATTTAATTACTGAAAGAAGAATCTGTCTAACAAAATACTACCCAAGAGTTTGGGTTAACCTGTAAAATAGACATCCTAAAGCTGGGAAATTGGATACTCTCCAACTGGCTTTGAAAATGAAGAAAAATATAAATAACAGAAGCACTTCCGGGCTGGTGCTACCATGTCTCAATTCTTGTAAATATTTCCATTTTCCTTCCAAAGATCAGATCTGAAGCAAGGTCCCATATAAGGGATCAAGAGAGTCTGCTAAGTAGCATCTGGCAGCCTGGAAGCTGAACAAGGCCTCAGCACGAATAAAGTGTGCATTTGGTTGGGCTTATACAAGGAGATCCCTCTCTCCCCTTTAGCAGTAAGACAGTGAGCATTTGCCTGGATTCTTCTTTGAGAGGTGAGGATAGACTGGTGTAGTGTGACCGATTTGGTGACTTCTACCACATAGGGCTCCTCCCCAGCCACAGCATCTCCAGCCTAAAATCTTTTCCAGATTTCCCCATTTAAAGGTAGGTAAGACAGAGGACATAATGCCTTTCAAAAACGGATTAAGAATGGTACGACTATTGCCTTCTCTGTCTATCTGAAGTGATTGGGCTCTGGATCCCCATAAGGATGAGTCTTTCCTTCGTCCATCTCCCAAAGCAATGCTAAGCCATCACCAGGAGGAGATCCCTTTGTATACTCCAGGACACTTGAAGGGAGGGGTCAAGGAAAGAACAGACGGGTGACCAGTGAATATTATTTTGGAATGTTAACTCCAAACTGTATCTTAACATATTATAACCCTTTCCTTATTTCATATTCTTATAAATATTATCTCAAATCTTCTTGGAGTAGAGAGATATGTGGGAGGGCATGGAGAAACTATGCCAGTTTAGATGTCACTCTTTCCAAGCTAGAAATACTTAGATACTGGGTTAATGTTAAAATAAAAAAATTGTTTCTGGCAGACTTGTGCCTAAAACAGAGAGCAGTATTGATATTTTTTTCTTGGTTTTTTTTTTTTTTGTTATCTTTTTCTTTTTTTTTTTGGCTAGGCAATGGGGTTAAGTGACTTGCCCAAGGTCACACAGCTAGTAAGTGTTACGTATCTGAGGCTGGATTTGAACTCAGGTCCTCCTGAATCTAGGGCCAGTGCTCTATCCACTGCGCCACCTAGCTGCCCCCCATGATATTTTTTCAACAAACGGCAGAAAGTATTGTGCCCTGACCCCCAAAAAATCATCAACCTATGACCAATCTGACCACAAGACAATCCATGGACCCATAAGAATATTTTTCTCTAAAATTTAAAAAAAAAACAGTTGGGGAGGGGGAACAGCAAGGATGGGACTTCACAATCTCCCCTTTCTATGTTGTTATGTGGGGAGAGGAAACAGTCCAACCACTGGAGGAAGGGGGAAGAAAAAGGCAGGGCCTATAGGGGACAGCACCATGACAACAGGTGGAGGGGGTTGAGCTACACATGGGCAGGAAACAGCAGAGAAGCAAAGCTGAATTCATAGGATCCTAGGTTTAGAGCTGGAAGGGACCTAGAAGCCATCACATCCGACCCTCGCATGAGAAAACCGAAGCACAGGGAGTTTAAGTGACTTGTCCAGGCTCACACGGGTGAGGTGGGATTTGAACCCTGGTCCTCCTGACTCCAGGTCTAGCTTTATCCTCTATACCACGTAGGTGCCACAAGTAAGAGTGGTGGTCAACAAGGAGGAAGCCGTACCGCATTTCCTCGGGACAGATGGTGCCCAGTTCATGTCAACACCCTGAGGCAAAACCCACTTCACCTCATCTTTGGTACAGCTTTGCTCTCCGAACTTACGGAGGCTTGTTTTCAGTAGACTCGATGTGCCAAAGTTTGTGTTCTGCTAATTAACTTTTGAGAATCCAGGGATATAAAGATGATCATTATATATTTTGAATGATTAAAAATTAAACTATAGATTTATGTTATTAATTAATTATTCAAGTAATTGAGTAAGCATATGTTGATTGAATGTCTACTCTGTGCCATCCTAATTAGACTTATTCACCCATTTCCAAAAGGTAATCAGGGGAACACATCTGAGAAAAGATAAGCTGGGTGTTGGGCTACAGAGGGCAGCTTACTCATGTCCTGGCCCTTGAAGCCAGTCCTATTTCACTACTGAGCTCTGCGGACACAGCTGGAAAGAAAAATCTTGGTCGAGTCAGTGCTTGGGAGCAAAGATGCACAACTTGGTTCTCGATGCAACATCTTCCTCTTCCCCACCCCACCCCCTTCCTCAGCCTCCCCTCTGGGGCTGGTCCTAGCTCTGGCTACTCACCCTCTGGCCCTTCACTGGGTCCTGAGTGCCCCTCTCTAGCTCCACCGCAGACTCATGAGGCATCTACAGGAAGAAGGAAGATAGAGCTCTGACTACCTGGGTGGCTGATGGGACAGCTCAGGGGAGCTCGCAAAGATGGGAATCAAGCCCCATGGTGGCTGCTGCTAAGGAAAGGGAGCCCCTGCCCAGCACAGGGACAACCTACTGCGAAGGGGCAAGGACACTCAGAGAAGAAAGAAAGGGTGAGCTGTTGTGTAGTTGGGTCCAACTCTCCATGACTCCATTTGAGGTTCCTTGGCAGAGATACTGGAGTGGCTTGCCATTTCCTTCCTTGACAGGTGAGGAAACTGAAGTAAATAGGGTTAAGTGACTTAGCCAGGGTCATGCAGCTAGTGCCTGAGGCCAAATCTGAACTCAGGTTTTCCTGACTCCAGGTCTGGCACTTATATACACTACAATGCCATCTAGATGCCCTGAAAGCTATGGGAAAGGCCATCATTCCTGCATGGCCTCACCTGGCATCACTTCACAGACTTTATCTTAGCAGCAGCATCATGGAAGGGAGAAGAAACTGAGGCCCAGAGAGAAGTGAAGTGACTTGCCTAAGGTCACACAGGGAGTGACAAAGGCAGGATTAGAACCCAGATCCTCCAGTGCCAGAGCCAGAGTCCTATAAAGGGCCCATCCATTCCAACCCTTCATCTCACAGATGAGGAAACTGAGGCAGGTAGAATTGTAAGTGACTTGCCCAGGGTAGCCTAGCTAGGAATGCCTGAGGTCACATTTGAACTCAGGTCTTTCCGATTCCAGGACCAGCACTCCAAGCACTGCCCTGCCTGGCCGCCATCTGACGAGATGCCTACTTCTTTCCTACTCCACATCTCAATCCCCTTCATTTTCTCTTCCCCTGATAAAGGTGCCCCAGGGCAGAAGTGGAGGCTCTCAGCAGGGTCACCCACCAGCACGGGTGTGGCCATGAACAGGCAGCTGAGCGGGTAATGCAGGAGGTTAAGGATGGATGAAGAGTAGAGGTCGCGTAGCGCATCAGCTGGCTGGCAAACAGCGTCTGGCGGAATCCACAGCGGAACAGGCTTCCCATCTTGCAATAGCAAAGGTCCATCTCCCGGGTCACCCTCTGGGGAGGAAAGATGGAGCAGATGAGAACCCCCAGGGCAGGGCGCTCCCCTCCCTGGCCCGGGGCCAGGGCCTAACTCTGAGACATCGCCATCCTCACTCCCCCCTGTTATTGTAAGGCCTGGTCACAGTGAGCAGCGGTGGGACACTGGGGGTGCTGAGACAGGCAGGCAAGCTGCCCCTACGATGAAGATTATGATGATAATAATAACGATAAATAGCTCACATGGGTATAGCACCTACTATGTGTCAGGAGCTGCACTGAGCACTTTATAATTACGATTTCATTCGATCCTCACAATAACCCTGGGAGGTAGCTACTGTTATTATCCTCATTATACAGATGATAGAACTAAGGTAAACAGGGTTAAGTGACTTACCCAGGGTCACTGGGTAGTAAGCTAGTGAGAGTCTGAGGCTGGATTCGAACTCAGGTCTTCCTGGCTCCAGGCACAGCACTCTATACACTGTGCCAGCAAGCTGCTGTAGACCTGCCTTCCTACCAAGCTCACAAGAGCCCAGAATACCAAGTCCTCAGCACAGTGGGTCAGGCGCTGGGCACCGAGTCAGGAGGACCTGAGTTCAAATCCGGCCTCAGACACTTGCCACTTACTAGCTGTGTGACCCTGGGCAAGTCACTTAACCCCATTGTCAAGTTAAAAAAAAGCTTATGGAAGTTATGGGGCAGCTAGGTGGTGTAGTGAAGAGAGCTCAGGCCTTGGAATCAGGAAGACCTGAGTTCAAATCCAGCCACAGACACTTAACACTTACTAGCTGTGTGACCCTGGGCAAGTCACTTAACCCTGATTGCCTCACCAAAAAAAAAAAAAGGCAAAAAAAAAAAGAGATACACCTACGGGTTATAGGGTTCTGGGTATTTTGGCTACCCTCTGAGCCCCAATATCCTCATCCATAAGGTGGGGGTGATAATGCCGACAGCAGTCAATTGATAAACATTTATTAAGCACCTACTATACACCAGGCACTGTGCTAAGCACTGAAGACACAAAAAGAGGCAAAAGACAGTCCCTGCCCTCAACAAGCTCATAGTCTAACGGAGGAGACAACAAAGGAACACATATGTGCACACACACAAGCCATAGACAGGAGAAACAGGAAACAGTCAACAGAGGGAAGGCTCAGGAATTAAGAAGGGTTAGGGAAGGCTTCCTGTAGGAGGTGGGATTTTAGTGTGATGAGGATTACCAAAGTTCACAGAGAGTTGGACCAGACCTCCAAAGTCACCCGATCCAGTCCAACAGCGTCATTTTATGGATGAGGACACTGAAGCTAGCCTTTCGAGGAGGTGCCTAGACCAGCCGTGTTTCTCTCTCTGGGCTTTGCTTCAGCTGCTTTCTCCTTTCCCCCTCGAGGCCTCCTCCTCCCGCTGGTGAGTCCCCCCAGAGCCTCCGTGTGGAGGCCAGGCCCAGAATTCACCAGCACACCACAGGGCAAGGACTGCCTTCCCTTCTCCCCACACCCACCTCTTGTCTGTGTCCCTAATACTTAGCACAGTGCCTGGTACACAGGAAGTGCTTCATGAATGTTTGTTGCCTGAAGCACAAAGAAAATTTGCCTAGGGTCAACAGTTGATAAGCATGTGATAAGGGATTTGAACCCAGATCTTCCTGACTCCTCAGTCCAGTAAGTATATAGACATACACACACACATATGTGTGTGTATATATATATATATACAGGCATATATGTATATATTGCGTGTGTGTGTGCATTTATGTTTTGTTGTTGTTGAGCTGTTTCGGTCATGACTAGCTCTTTGTGGTCCCACTTGGGCAAAGACACTGGAGTGATTTCCTATTTCCTTCTCCAGATCATTTGACAGATGAAGAAACTGAGGCAAACAGGGTTAAGCAACTCGCCCAGAGTCACATAGCTAGTAAGTGTCTAGGGTCACACTGGAACTCAGGCTTTCCTGAATCCGGGCCTGGCACCCTGTCCACTATGCCACCTAGCTGCCCTGATACACAGATTTAGAGATAGATAGATAGACAGATAGATAATAGATGGATGGATAGATAGATATAGATGGATAGATAGATAGATAATAGATAGATAACAGATAGATAAGTAGATAGATAGACACGCACTTACCTCTCAGATGAGATAACATACATAAAGTAGTTCACAAATCTTAAAGCCCATATAAATGCCAGCTCTTATCATTATACCAAGCCTATTAGGAAGCTAGACTGAGCCAACAATCCCACTTTCCCACACTCAGTGGAGGGCTCTAATCCCAGGCTTGGGACTTGGGGCAGAGTAGAATCCAGAGCACTAGTTTTGGGTAGGGGAACTGGGGGGCCTCTCAGTCCTTCAAGGTCTCAATCTTAAGAACACATGAGACCTTCTGACGGGGCTGAAGCTCCAAGCTGTTTGGCTATTGAACCAGCAGGGGGTACTGGTTGTCAAGGTGAGGCAAACTGGCTCTTCAGCACTGTCCCCTGCCCCAGTGGAAAAAGTGAAAGCTTAGGGGAAGGTAAGCTCGCCTGCTTCCCCCAGGACACACACACACACACACACACACACACACACACACACACACACACAGACATACACACATGCGCACACACATACATACACATACACATACCACACACACACCACACACATACACATACGCGCGCACACACACACCACACATACACACATACCACACACACATGCACACCATGCACATACACACATGCGTGCATACATACACATCACACACATACACACACCACACACACACACCCAGCACCCCCTCCTCTCCAAACTGTTACCTGAATCTCTCTCTTGGTAGAGCTGATGTCCTCTTGCCCACAGCTCCTCCTGTCCATGTGCCTGAGCAGGAAAGAAGGCCAGTGACCAAGGAAGGGTCTCAGAGACCACTGCCCCTAAAAGGGCTGCCAAGCAGCTGTTAGCATGGCCCCTGAAAACACTTCCCCATCCCCCCACTCCCATATGATTACATATATATGGATGAATTCTATGTGGGCTACGTGTGTGCACTTTAACATTCGGAGACTCATCTGTAAATTCGGGATAACACCAGAAATACCTCCATCCCAGTGCTATTGTGGGGCCCAGATAAGATACTGTGGGTAAAAGGTTTCTCAAGCATCAGAGCGCCATGAAAATGCAGCTGTCAGCATTATTGCCGGTGTCCGTCCAAACAGGGGGCTTAGTGCAGCAGAGAGCTCAGGCCTTTGAGCCAGGAAGATCTGGGTGAAAGTCTCGCCTCTGACACAAGTGCCTGTGTGATCCTGCTGGGCACCTAACAATTCTCTAAGACAGGAGTTCTGAGGCTTTCTTACGTCATAGACCCATTTGGTAATCTGCTGAAACCCACGGACCCCTTCTCAGAACAATGTTGGGTTCTGTTTTTTGTTTTCAGGTCACAATGAAATGAAACACTAAATTTCAGTTAGAGGTTATTGAAAATAAAGATGTCATTTTTTCTCATTGAAGCTCACTGACCCCTGCTTAAGAATCTCTTCTCTATGTTTCCAAGTCAAAGAGAAGATGCCATTTGCCAGACAGCTGATGTGATGCATTCTGCAGACCTCTCCTACCTTTCATCCTTTAATCTCCTGCCCTACCCTCTGTACAATGAAGGAATTGGCCTGAATGGCCTTGGAGCTCCAGCGCCATGATCTTACAAGCTCAAGGCTTCAAACTAAAGCAGGGGTCCTCCATCTGGGGTCCACGTACTTGTTTTTTCAATATCTGGAGAATTCCATTTCAGTAGGATTGGTTTTCTTTATAGCACCCATATGTTTTATTTTATGCATTTAAAAACATGATTCAGACTGGGGCAGCTAGGTAGTGCAGTGGATACAGCACCAGCCCTGGATTCAGGAAGACCTGAGTTCAAATTCAGCCTCAGACATGTAACACTTACTAGCTGTGTGACCCTGGACAAGTCACTTAACCCCATTGCCTAGCCCAAAAAAAAAAAAAAACCAAACCATGATTCCACGGGCTTTGCCAGACTGCCAAAGGGGTCCAGGTTAAGAACTTGTCATCTGGATCATCAATTGGCCGTCTAGAAGTACTTTTCCTCCCAGACAACCTGGAGTTGAAGGCTTTGGCTAAGGCCTGGTCCTCCTGGGTCCCAGCTCCTGAGAGATGGTACTGTGGAATCTCCACAGACTGCATGTTTATGTGTCTATATGTCTCTGTCTCTCTCTTTGTCTTGTCTTCCTGTCTCTAGCTCTGTTCTCTCTCTCTCTTTCTCCTCTCTTCTTCTTCTTCTTATCTCTCCCTCTGTCTCTGTCTCTCTCTCTATCTCTTTCTCTCTGTCTCTCTCTCTCTCTCTGTCTTTCTCTCTTTGTCTCCATCTGTCTCTGTTTCTGTCTCCTCTCTCTCCCTTTCTCTCTCCTCTCTCTTTCTCTCTCTCTGTCTCTCTCTCTCTGTCTCTCTCTCTCTGTCTCTCTCTGTCTTTCTCTCTCTCTCTCTCTCTCTCTCTCTCTCTCTCTCTCTCTCTCTCTCTCTCTCTCTCTCTTTCTGTCACACATACATATACCACTACACTATCCAGGTCTTCCTAAGACTGGACATGAGTAGGACAGGGTCAGGGCAAGGCAGGGTATCCCCAGGAAATCGACCCCTTTAACTTCCTTCCCAGCCCCTCCTCTCCCCCAATCCAGTCTATCTCCCTCCCTGCAGGAGGCTGACGACCCTGGGGCTCACTCACTGGTACAGTGCTGCCAAAGACACCTCCAGCTCCTGCAGCTCCTCAAACAGCTCTGAGAAATAACAAGGAATCGGCAGGGGTCAGCCGAGACTCACAGCTGCCCTCCTGCTGCTGCTGTTGTGGCCACCTGGGCCCTTAGTCCAGCTCTGCTTGCAGAAGGATGACCAAATCACTGAACTTGAGAGCTGGGAGAGACCTCAGCAGCAGATCTGAAAAAGAATCCCCTCAAAGACCTCCAAGGAAGAGAAAACTCACTACCTTCCAAGGCAACCCATCCTTCTAACTCATGCCTCCTGCCATCACATACTCCAAGTCAACTCTCCTGTCCATTCCCATTCCTCCCGTCAATCCTCATGGGTCATAGACTCCAGGCCCTTCACTTTGCAGGTTGCCCTCCTCTGGATGCCTGACTGCTTATCGATATCCTTCTTAAAGGGTAGTACCCAGAACTGAACCCCAGTGCTACAGATAGGAGACTTGAACACTGTGAGAATATTACCTCCTTATGCCTAGAAGTTATACCTTTAATGTAGACCAAGCTCTCATTAACTTTCTTGAATAACACACTGTCAGTTCCTATTGAGCTTGCAGTCCACTAAGTACCCCAGATCTTCTACAGACAAACTGTTGTCTAATCCTGCCCCTCCTCTAATACCTTTATACTTGTGAAGGTATTTAGCACCAGACTCAGACTGGAGCACACAGGAGCTCACTGCCTTGGGGCAGGAGTAAATGTAAAAGTGAAGCCCCAGGCTCATGTGTTTGATACTGGAAGGGATGCAATTTGGCCCATCTCATTTAGCTGATGTGCTAATTAGTTTTGCTAAACTGTTTCTTTTTTTTTATTATTCTTTAGCTTAAAGCAAGAGTTTTTCACCTTTTCTGTGGTCTGGACCCCTCTGGCAGCATGGTGAGGCTATGGGGCCCTTCTCAGAATAGTGCTTCAAATAGCTGAAAGAAATGCCAAATTTCTTTTTCTTTTTCTTTTTTGGCTAGGCAATGGGGTCAAGTGACTTGCCCAGGGTCACACAGCTAATAAGTGTTATGTGTCTGAGGCCAGATTTAAACTCAGGTCCTCCTGGATCCAGGGCCAGTGCTCTGTACACTGGAAATGCCAAATTTCAACGAGAGCTTAGTGAAAATAAAAACGTGCTGTAATTTTTTTCTGATCCAAGTTCATAGCCTCCCTGAAATCTAGCTATAGCCCCTCCACAGGGAGGTTACATACCTCCAGTTTAAAGAATGGAGGTTGAGGACAGGGAGAAATATACTGACAAAATAAGGTGATGTAAAAACAATAGATATTAATAACACTAAAAAATTTTGTAAATGTTTGTTGCATTGAATTGGGTAGGAATTTTTAATCTCCTTCTGATCCCAGAAACAGTAAATTTCCACCAGAGTCTGCCTGGCCAGAGGGAAGGCATAAGGAGATAAGAAATAAATACTCTCACAATCCTGGAATACTACATCTTTAGCACTGTGTTCAATTCCTCACCTTTCTCCCTCTTAAAATGGCTCAAGGATGAATCATAAATTCAGCCCTTGGAGTGCCCTGGTCCTTCCCTTCCGGCAAGGTCAATCCAGTCCTTCAGCTGCATATGGCGAGATGAGGCACTGAGCCCTTTGCCATCCTGGCCCTGACCTCACCAGCTCAACCTCAGTCTCCTCTAGCAAAGTCCTGGGGCCTCTCTGCCTAGATAACATCCAACCTCCACCCTGCCCAGTAACGTGAAGGGCTCCTTTTCTTCACCCTCTCTCCTCCCCACCTTCCTCCTCAAGTTCTGCCCACCATTCTCCTGGGCCCAGACAGTCAACTCCCGGGCCAGCTCAGGCACCACAAGGAAGGTACGCCAACCCTGGCGCTTCTTAGACTTCAGGATGTCCCCAAAGATGTGGTCCCCAATGTACAGGATGTCTTTCCCCCTTACTCCGAGCAGCTCACATACAACATCCGATGAGCCTGGCTCACAAAAGAAAGAGCAGAGGTCACCGACCCTTCCCTTAGCACCCTTCTCCCCTGGGGCTGATGTAGTTGCAAAAGGGTAGTCAGCCCCCTGTAATATATGGGAATTTTCCATAGTTCTGAGTTTTCTGAATGGATGGGTCCCCCCAGCCAAGAGAATGCAAGCAGAAGCCACGGGGCAGTGTCCGAGGAGTGGAATGAAGGAGCTCAGGGCACACAGGGAACTCTTACCTCCAGAATAGACAGCACAGTGTTGGTGGGGTCCAGTATAGGTGCCAATTCGCAACTTTCCCGAATCCTAGTAGAGATTGGAGGGTGGAAGCAAAGTGGTCACTAGAGCCAGGAGCCCCAAGCCCTGAGGAAAGAGAAAACTTCTTTTTTCCAAGTAAGAGATGCTACTGATGGGGTAAATCTGAAAGGGAAGATATGAATATAATGGGAAATTGTTTTGCTGTAAGAAATGATGAAAGAGAGTTTCCTAGAAACCTGGGAAGACTCATATGAACTGATGCAGAGGAACAAGCAGAACTAGGGAAATAACGTATGCAATAAGAACAGCATCGTACAAACAACTCCGAAGGACTTAAGAACTCTGATCAGCTCAGTGACCAGCCACAGTCCCAGAGGACCCATGATTAAGCTTGCTATGTGCCTCCCAACAGAGAAGTGGTGGCCTCAGGGTACAGAATGAGACACACACATGTGCACATGGCCAAGGTGGGAGTTTATTTTACTTGACTATGCATATTTATTACACAGGTTTTGTTTTTCACTTTTTCCTCCTCAACAAGGGGCATGGAAAAGTGAGAGGGAAAGAAAATAAATGCTTGTTAGTTGAAAAAAAATTAATTTAAAGAAGAAAAAAAGAGAGTGAATTAAGGTAGCCTCAGCTGGGGGCGCTAGATAGCAGATGGAGAGATTGGAGTGCTCCAGCTTCTTAAGTCCCATCCAAAACACCGTGCCACAGCCCACCAGGCTTGAGGGCCACTTTCCACTCTTAATCCTTTTTTCTGTTTGTTTGTTTTTTGTTTTGTTTGGGTTAGGCAATTGGAGTTAAGTGACTTGCCCAGAGTCACACAGCTAGTGAGTGTTATGTGTCTAAGGTCGGATTTGAACTCAGGGCCTCCTGACTTCAGGGCCAGTGCTCTATCCACTGTGCCACCTAGCTGCCCCCCACCCTTAATCCTATCTAGGCTCCATTCTCCCTAGAATTCTATTACCTCATACTACTTGGCCACTCCTAGATCCCTCCCATAGTCTTAATGTCTCTATTAAGGGGCTCTGATTCTTATAATCAAGCCACTGCTCAGATTCTTACAATCTAGCCAATACCTCACAGACTCTCAGATTCCTCAAGAGTCTGGCTAATATAGCAGATCTTTAATAAACCTTGTTTTTGGCTGAAAGAAGGCTTGGGTTGAATTCTTTCTGCCAGGACCCGCGTGTCACGATCTCAGGATCCCAACACCCCTCACCTCTAGACCTCATCAGAAGTATGGTCATTGTAATTCCCTGATTCAAGGGCCACAGTGGACAGAGCCAGCCTCCCCCCACCCACCTCAACACACTGCCCATCTCCCCACTTCATTACCGTGTTGACCTGTCTCAGCACAGTCCCCTCTGCAAAGAAGCGTGGTTTCTGCGTGTCCACCACAATCAGGTCAAAATAGGATTGCCAAGGCCGAGCCAAAGCTTCCACCTACGTAGAGGGGCAATATTGGGGACTCAGATACAGAGAGCCCAGAAACACACACACACACACATACACAATTTTGATTCAGTTCCAAGATTCTGACACTGCCCCTCCCAGCACTAGATCTAAGCTTCTCTGGATGGTCTAAAATGTATTATGTCTTTGTCACTCCCTCTCACATGTACAATCACACAGACACTCCCAGTTAAACACACAGTCAGTCACACACCCATGGGCCCATGGTCATTCGCAGTCACAGTCATAGTCATAGTCACTACAGACTTTCCCACTGGTTTTCAGATGTCTAAGCTTAGCCAGCCTGGGAGGAAGCTAGGAACACAGTCCTCCTCCCTTGGACCTGTGCCTCCCTCTGCTAGGTTTTATGGGATCATGGCACCCCTGGATTTAGAGCTTAACACTAGAAAAGTCTCATTTACACTTTAACCCCTTTATAATGTGGCAATTACAGGCCATTCCCCCACCAGGCCTCTTCTGCGTGGCCTGGCAGAGAGGAAGTAAGAAAGAATCCTAGCTCTAGAACCCAAATGGACCTCAGATATCAGCTATAACACCCATCATTTTACAGAGGAGAAAACTTAGGCCTGTAGAGGTCAAGTGATTAACCCAAGGTCACACAGGTTAGGGATGGAGGCACACATGTTTAGAGTCAGAGGCATTTAGGGTTAAGGTTAAGATTTGAACTCAGATCCCCTGACTCAATAGGCAATGATCTTACAACCAAGCCATATCATTGTCCCCTTTCACACCTAGGCAGCTCACCCTTGGCTGCCCCCACCACAGGATAAAGCGTTCACACCTTCTCAGTCTTTCTAGCCAGGAGGGCTGGAAGTAGGGAACCGCTCAGGGTATTAGGAAGAATGTTCCCTTCCTCTAATCACTGGTAAACATAGAGGGAAGGCTCTGGGGGCCCTTCCCAGCCTACCTCCCACCTCCTCCCCCCTTCCCTCCCTTATACATACCCAACAAGCCCTAGCACCACCCTAGGAAGGCATAAAACACTCACCTGACCACAGTCAAACAGGTAGGTCATGATTGCCTGGAGGGGACAGGAGGCAAGGTCAGGGTGCCAGGGGTCAAATCAGGGAATCTACCCATATCATAAGCCCACAAGCACATTGCCCAAGGCTACCCTCTGCCTCCTCCCCTCTGACCCCACCAGGAAAGTACATCTCAAAATTCAGGTTTTTAGGCCTGAAAGAGCCCATCTTAATCTAGAGAAGGAAACAAAAGCCCAAGGTCACACAGCCAGGACTAGCACCCAGGTCTCCTCACCACCCCACCCTCTCCCTACTCCAGTAGCCTTTCTGCCAAACCATCTCCCCACTTTTCCTACTCGAACCAAGGCCTTCTTCCCCACCCCCAGGGACACATGCACACACATGCCTCCCCACACAGACATAAACACATACACACACAAAAAAAAACCACATAGATGCACCACTTCAGAGCGTGGGCCCCATTCCCAGTGGCCCGTGGATGTCTAATACATTTGCTTGTAAGCATCCTCAGGAGAGATGCTGATAGCCACGGGCTACCATGAGCTTCAATGGGTCACAGAAGCAGACACAGCAAAATAGAACTGGGCCGATTCCTTTTCAGGCCAGACCCAAGGTCTCATTGGTTTAAAGAATTCCCAGAGAGGAAACCACTTTGGGTTTCCAGTATGGGTCAGAGGCAGAGCTTGAATACAGTGTTTAGGATCATACCCCCATCGATCTAAAGTTTGAAAGGACCTTGGAGACCTCGTTTTACAAATGAGGAAACTGAGGCCCAGGGAATAAAGAGAATGGCTACATTCAGTATACACCGGAGCCTTTGGCTTCAGAACCAGTGCTGAGGTAAGGCTCTCTTTGAAATATGTCTTGCTACCTCTCAATTTCAATGATGATGATGATGATGATGATGATAACAATAATAATAGTATTTATAGAGTGCTTCAAGGTTTGCAAAGCACTTTACAAATATTGTGCCATTTGATCCTCCTTTAGATAAGTGCTATCATTATCCCCATTTTATACATGAGTAAATTAAGGCTGAGAATAATTACATAATTTCTTCAGCATCCCATAGCTAGCAAGTGTCTGAGACAGGAACAGAATTCCAGTCTTCTTGACTCCATATCTAGAGCCCTGGCATTGTACTACTCACTGTACTACCCACACAAATGGGGCTGCAGGGTCAGGCAGGCTGAGGTCATCCATCCTTCCCCCTGCCCCACAGCAATCAATACTCACATTGGTGTAGTTGTAGTTGCTGTTGGTGGCCAGAAACACTTTCCCAACTTCCTTCATCTTTCCCAATAGAACAGGAACGCGGGCCTTGGGTAAAGAGGTGGAGGAGTGTAGAGGATGAGGCTTCCAGATTCACCCCGGCCCCCCATCAGGAGACCTCAGCCAGCTCAGTACAACGATCAGACCACAGGATGGGTATAGCTAGTAGTGAACATCTGTGCACACAGCCTTGTACTTGGGACTGGGGAGGAAGACCAAAAGTCCTCCTCCATGCCACCCTCAGGACCCAACACTCACATCCTTCTCCACATATTTCTCCAAGTTCTCTAAGGTCTTCTCCTTGAGGCAGCCCTGACAAAGGGTGATGAAGATGTGTACAGATAAGAAAGGAGGAATGGCAAAGAAAAGGCAAGGGCAGGGAGGCCATGGGCAATGAAGCAGAGGAAGAGAACCCAGGCTAAACTCTTCTTCAGAAGAGATATTTGATAGAGTGGGGCCTAGTGGAAAAGGTTTTAAAGGGAAGAGGATGCTCTGGGTTCTCAGAAACACGGGAAAAAATCCAAGGTTGGGGAAAGGGAGGACAGAGCTGGGAGGTGGGTGGGAGAAAGTGCGGGGGCTGCTCACCGACTGGTGGACGTTGTCCATGGCATCAGACACATCCTGGAAGAGGCTACGGAAAGACATGAAGAGGTTCCCGTGCTGGTAGCCTGTGTCACAGCTGGGAAAACCAGGGAGGAGGACAAGGTGAAAGACCAACCTCATGCTACAGGGGTAGGAGTACTGACTCTGGAGTCCAATGCTTTTACTTGTTGTCTTCCCTATTAGAATTGTAAGCTCCTTGAGGGCACTTAGTACAATGCCAGGCCAGGCACAGAGAAGCAGCTAATAAATGTCTATTCGCTTGGACTTCACTACATAACCTTGGGCCTCAGTTTCCCCATTTGTAAAATGAGAGGTTGGACCAGATAACCTCTGATCAATAATCCCATGATCCTCAGATCTAGGTTCAAGTTCCGTCTCTTACACACTCTGGAGATGAGATCAGAGGCTCCAGACCAGCTTTCTAAAGGTATGGTGTTATTGACTTTAATGAAGATACAAGGAAGTATCTGGGGAAATGAGGAAGCCTCCGACTTCATCTAGAAGGATGGGAGGGAGAAAGGGGGCTGCCCACTACAACAAAGTGAGCTACACTGTGGATTATAGGATTGTACTGCCAGTTAAAGATGGGGCTGGAGTCAGGAAGGCCTGAGTTCAAATCTGGTCTCAGGCACTTAATAGCTTTGTGATCCTGGGCAAGTCTGTTTGCCTTAGTTTTCTGATCTGTAAAATGAGCTGGAGAAGGAAATGGCAAACTACTCCAACATCTCCACCAAGATAACCCCAAATGGGGTCACAAAGAGTTGGACACGATTGAACAACAGTCAGTTACACTACGGGATGTATCACGGGTCACACTGTAGGCTACTTCAGGCTACAGCCTGTGGGTTATCCTCTAAGTGACCATGCCTGTGACGACTGTGGCTTGCGCTATTAGAGACACTATTGTGGGCCACACTCCAGGTGCCCCCCAGAAAGGACAGGGTTGAGGGTAGATCAGGGTTGAGGTATGGGACCCAAAGATTGATCGTTCAGTGACCTGGCTTGAGGCCCAAGGGCAAAAACCAGATTAAGTGTTTTGAGACTCACTTAATGTATCTGGAGCAGTTGGTAAAAAAGTCCACGAGGCAGGCATACAGATATGTTTCTGCAGAGAAAGCACAGAGGAATCAGTCATACCTCGGAACCTGCCCCTCCATCCTCACAACCGGGAGAGATGAGGCAGGCCCTAGGTTAAGTCAAGTCAAGGATAGACAGAAAAGCAGACATCTAGGAGGAAGCAGAAAACAGGGAGGAGGCCAACACCCCCGCCTTAAATTCACCATGCTTGCATTACTCAGATCCCTCTGTGCTTGGCATATAGTAAGTGCTTAATACATGCTCTTTAAATGACTGAATCTTCATTTTCTTCACTCTCATTTCCCCCCTCCCCAGCTGTTTCCTCTTGCAGTGCCCCTTTTCTGATTCCCCTCACTTCTCCCAGACTCTCAGCTTCCTCCTCTGACTTCTCATCGCCCTCTCCTGATTCCTCAGCTCTTTCTTGATCTTTCCTCTTTCTCTTCATCATCCTCACAGCTCGGATTTTCCCTCCCCCTTCTCATCTGAATCTCCCAGCTGCCTCCCCTCTGAACTCCTTGAAAGTAAAGCCTGTTTCATTTTTTACTTTGTATATGTCTAGTGCCTAATACAGTGACTGGCTTAGTAGAAAGCTTGTTGACCGAGTGATTAATTTGTTCCTGCTTTCACTCACCTGGAAGGTTGAAGAGAGTGTTGAGAATGTGGAATCTTTGCATGTCATCCCGATGAATGAACTTGCTGGGGTAAAAGCTCCAGATTTCAGCCCTGGGGTGGGGGTGAGAGTGAGGGAATTGGAAGAGGGAATAGGGGAGCAAATGGGACAGATATCTAGCCACTCTTTCCTAACCCCAACTGCGCTCTCCACTTCTTAGTATAGAGAGAAAATATGATTCCCCCCTCATTATCCATCCTAGGACCCCTTGCTCCCCTCAATCCACACCTTGTCTTCATCCCACAGGCACCACCCAACACATACTCAGTAAGGAAGGAGAAGCCATGAGTAGCCAGCAAGATGTTCCCATGGGTGTCCACCTTCAACAGGTTGCCATATAGTGCGTCAAACACTAGGCCCCTGCCAGGACCAAAAAAAGGGATGGAGAGTGAGGAAAAGGAGCAAAGGAAAAGAAAGGACAGGGCCTGATACAGAAAAATACTCCAGTCCTAAAAGGAAAGGATGAGATCATGGAGAAGCTGGCCTGGGAGCAAAGCTAGAAGTCTCGGCTACTTCCTCCAAGGCCAGCTCTACTGCCTGCTCCCCCTTCTTCTTCCTCCCACTGTCCTTCCTCCAAAGTCATGGTTGTCCCTCTCCACCCCCAACCCAATTCCGCTTTCCTTTCCCAATCCATGGTCCCTCTCCAACTCCTAAGCTCGGTGCCTCTTCTCTCAAATCCATTGTTGTTTTCACTCTCCCAAACCCAGTTCCTCCTTCACTAAACCTTTTGTCTCTCTCCATCCCTCAAATCCATTGCCTCCTGCCTAAAACCCAGACGATCCTTTCCCCAAATCCATTGTCTTTATCCCCCAAACTTGTGCTCTCCTTCTCCAAATCCCCCATTCCCCAGTCCCTCCATCTCCAGTGCCTCACCCGCTCCCTATAAACAGTCTCTTTCCCCTATACTCCTAATCCCTGTTCTTCCCAGCAAATGCACTCTCCCTCTTTCCCACACCACAGTCCTTCTCCCTTCTTGCTCCCCTACTAACCTCTCTGTCCCTCCCAGAGTCTCCCCTAGGTGGGGTTGTGAGTCTCCTCCCAGGATCAGGAGAAGTCTGAGGAACCCCAAATAGAGGAGAGGGCCCTGAAACCAAGGAAGAACAGTACCTGGTAGGGTAGGAAGGGTTGTAGACAAAGCGGAGGATCTCATGGGGGTAGCCGATACAGACCAGCCTATCCAGAAGTAGCTCAAATGCCAGGGCCTCGTAATCAGGAGATTTGTACACTAGAGCAGAAAGGATGGAAGGAGCTGTGCTGGTCCCTGAAAGCCCATCCCCTCCTCCTAGCATACCCCACCCCACTCCTCCAAGAGTCGTAGCCAAGCTAAAGCCAGAGGACACAGCCTTTGGTGCCTGGTCTTCCTAGCACACAGCAGGGGCTGAGTAAGGGCTAGCTAACTGACTGACCATTCTACCCTACCCTACTGACTCAGCTGGTGAGGCTGGTGGATGGAGCTCCTTAGTGTCCCGTTCTCTCAATGCCTGAACTTATTATCTCTAGTCCCTCAAGATGGCAGTTGTGATAAACGGCTGGTCCCCCAGACCACACATTGGGGCCTCACTTATCTGCCCAACTGGTACTAGTGTGATTAGTTCAGTTTTTGTGTAGGGATAAGGATTGGACCTGTGAATCCATTAGTATAGGGAAGTCCCAGATGAGGAAATGCCCTCCACCAATATAGGTTGGTACCTACTCTATAAGTTAAGAATCTTATTACAGAGTTGCCTGGGACACGGGGAAATTAAGTGACTTGCCGAAGGTTACAGGGCAGAGGCTGGGTTTGAACTTGCTCCAGGAGTGCTGTTCTGTTCACTGGACCACCCTCCTTTCTTTACTACCTGTGACCAATAGATGATGTCTTAATTATATTCATCCATTCAAAAAATGTTTATTCATCACCTACTGTGTGAAAGGCACCAAGGGGGATAGGAATAAGAAAGGGAACAGCTGGAAAGAGCCTAGATTGAGAGTTGGAGGACCTGGATTCAAATTCTAGCACTACCACTTACCATAAGGGTAATTTTAACTTTTCTGAGCCTCCATTTCTTCATCTATAAAATGAAAGCATTGCACTAGATGGCTTCTGAGATCCCATGCACCTTTAAATCCATGACCTCTCCCCAGTGCCCAGCCCCTGAGCTCCTCCTACCAGCCAGAGTATAGTCCATGTCAAATCCAAAACATCTGATCTTTCCCAGGGCCAGGCTGCGGTTCACAAACACCCTAGGGGGAGAAGGAAGTGTGTGGGTGTCCAGCTGCCACAAACTAGCCCAGCTCTCCTCTGGGTGACTTCCTCCCTGTATCCCACTCCCTCCAAAGATGAGTCAGGGACGTAGGGGGAGCGATCATTGGTGCTTGGCTCCACAAGGGTGCATGTTAGAGAGAATCCAGGACCGGGGTGGGAGGAATTCACAGAGTGTGTGTCACCTTCAGTGAGTGGATCCTCCACGGGGCTGGAGGCCGTGTCTAAGTTTCTAAGTCAGCGAGGGGCACCAGCCTTTTCTTCTTACTTACCTTTCATAGGGTTATTATACATTACTCCCCCGTTCATGAATTCTACAGTCCAGCTAAAATGACCTACTGTCTATGGGTAGCTGGCATCATAGATAAATTGCTGGGTCTAGAGCAGATGTGGGGAACCTGTGGCCTCGAGGCCACATGTGGCCCTCTAGGTCCTCAAGTGCGGCCTTTTGACTGAATCCAAAACAGGGCCACATGTGGCCTTGAGGCCGCAGGTCCCCCACCCCTGGTCTAGAGTAAGGAAGATCCAAGTTCAAATCCAGATTCAGACACTTACTAGCTATATGACCCTTGGCAGGTCTGCCTTAATTTCCTTAACTGTAAAATGGGAATAATAACAGCTCTTACCTTCCCAGGTTATTGTGAGCATGAAATAATTGTAAAGGGCTTAACACAGTGCCTGGCTCGTAGTAGGCACTTAATAAATGCTTATTACCTTCCTTACACATGATATTCCATCTCCCATCTCCATTTGTACAGGTTCTCCCCTCTTGAATGTATTTCTTCCTCACCTCCACCTCTTAGAATCTTTGCTGTTGTTTTAGTAATGTCTGATTCTTCATGAACCCATGTGGGGGGTTTCTTGGCAAAGATACTGGAGTTATTTGCCATTTCCTTCTCCGGTTCATTCTACAGATGAGGAAACTAAGGCAAACACAATTAAGTGACTTGCCCAGGGTCACACAGCTAGTAAGTGTCTGAGGCCAGACATGAACTTAGAGAAATAAGTCAGGACTTCAGGCACAGAGCTCTATCCATCTGAGCTATACCACCTAGCTACTCCTCTTAGAATCCCTCCTCTCCTTCAAAGCTCAACTAGGGGCTCTCCCTCATCCCTTAAGGCTACCGCCTCCTCCCACCCCAAATCACCTCATATTTATTTATTTTGCATTATTCTATCTATATTTTTGTAAAAGGAGGTGACCAGTGAGAGACTTCAGCAAAAGCTAAAGGACTCCAAGGGGGTGAAGGGACATTTATTTACAAAAAAACTGAAAGTCTACAGTAGTATTCCCCAGCCTGGAAAGGGTGAGAGGCTTATAAAAAACCAATAAGCCAATGAACTTGCCTTTAGGGCATAGAATACACTTATCCCTTTACCCCTAAAGGAAAAACTACTACAAGATCCCCTAAGGAGTAAGGGAGGTAAAACCAGCAAATTAAAACTAATCACCCTAAAGGCAACACTAAAGAATCTGAGTTCTGGGGCTTTTGAATCTGGAAGAATGAGTCAAATAGGAGAGATAAACAAACCTCTGCTCTTTCCAGCCTCAAAAGCCCCTTCCCAGGGTGAATCATTTCACTGATGCCTTATGGTGATCAACTTCAATTTTGCCAGTTTCACTTCTCAATCTCTTTTCCTGGAGCCTGGGGGGATGAAGGCAGGTATGCAAATCTTTGCCCTAGAGGTATCTTTGGGAGCTGGCAGTATCTTCAGTCAGCTCTGAGATCTTCAAGCCTCTCACCCTTTTTAGAAACACTCTTTTACAATTTCTGGCTTTTCATCCTTTACATTTTCGTGTTGGTGTTTTGGCCTCTGACTCTAGCCCAAGCACCTTCTCTAATACCCCAAACACACACATTTATTATCTCTCCTAAGAGAATGTAACTTCCCTGACTGCAAGAATAAATGTGTTTTGATTGATTACATTACAGAGTTCCCTCCATAAAATTAAGAGATTAGACTCACAGTTTTCTATGGTCCCTCTCAGCTCCATGATGACTTTGATGGTCCCACCTAGAAGCCCCTTTTTTGTCCTCAGTTACCATATTTCTATGTGTAGTCATAACTATTGCTAGGGTCCTGTTAGTGTAAAATTCGGGTGTGTAACCCTTAGGATATGTCAGTAAATGTGTGTCAGCCCAAGGAATTGTTATGTTCAGGTGTTATAGAAGGTGAGGTGGCATGCTGGAAATGTGCATATGTATCTGTGTGTGAGAGCATGATCTCACCTAGATATATGTGGATGTAAGAGGGATGTGTGTATGTCCTATTCAGTATGCGTGAGGAGAAGCCAAAGAGTATCATTGTCAATAGAAAGCATATGCTTCCCTCCCTCAGCTCCAACCTTAAACCCTTATGACCATCATCTCACCGCTGGTTATAGTCCTTCTTCAGCCCCCCAGGAAGACACCAGGCCTTCAGTCTCTAGACCAAGCTCTCCGTGGTTCAAAGTGGCCATTCCTACCCAGAGCCAACGTCAGAACTGACCGTCTTCTCTGCCTGCTACCTCCACGCTATCAGAAGGGCACAGACGGCCGGCTCCCCATCAGAAATTCTGGACAGCACTGACCAGAAGGCCACACCCAATCCCTCCGTCTCTGTCTCCCCACCCCCCCCACCCCCATCTTTCACTATGCTTCTCAGCAAGAGTCATTTTCCCCAATCAGACTACATCTAGAGTATTTTGTTCAGTTCTGGGCATGACATTTTAGTGAAACGACAACTGAGATCCTCAAGAGTAGAAGATAGTTGAGAATATTCCACCTGCCTTGTAGGACCATTGCTTCACGGGTTACCTTGGTTCCCAATTCAAATTATGGAAGTACAGTGAGCACCGCTCTGGCCACTATCCCAGAGCCTGGTTGCTAAACTATATTACCTGCCTCCGGGGCTTAGGGGTTCCCTGAGAAGTTTGAGGATGCCTCTTCTCCAGTGCCATTGGCTTGAGCCCCTACCAGTTATGTTCTCCCCACCCCTCTCCTTACTTAGGTGCCAGTAACTAGCCCCCCAATTCCATTTTACAACTTTTCATCAATTAGCTTTTATAAAGGGAGACATACTTAAAAGATGTAACAAGAACCAAAATACAAACATTTCCCCAAACACAATTAGTGGTGCAGGCTCTCCTACACTGCCTCAATCTCTAGGGAGAGTGGGCTCAAACTTAGCTAAGATGCTTTACAACATTGGTCCCACCTAGTTCAAAGTCCAGTCATGGTATGACTAACAGATAAATCCCCTTCTCACCTACCCTGAACTGGGTCCTGAAGGTCATTCCTTGTTCTTTTGGGAATCAATACTAGGCTTGCTGCAAAATCTAGGTACCAGGATGAAAAGACTCTCACTTTAGAAACTCACAAAATCAGAGGTTCCAATCCCTTCATTTAAAATGAGAAGGAACAAATGTCGAGGTAGGCAAAGACAGGGACTGTATTCATAGGGCCGCATGGCGCGTCAGAGGACAGTTGTCTCTCACTGGATGCTGTGAAGGAATGAAGGGGTCAAGACTGATTAGCCAAACAGAACGACAATGGACCGGGTTCTCCTAAACGTATGTTAAGGGATCTGTTACATCTTTATGTTACATCTGTGCATGCTCCAAAGTCTCTCCAAGGAACTTCCCATTACATGTCATGATTATCCCAGAGGCAAGCTCCTCAGACTTTTACAAGCAGTGGATTTGCATTACTCAGGCATTCTGATGCAGTCTGAGCATGCACCAGTCCTCAATGTATAAGTCACCCCAAGAGTAAGAGCCTGGTGTTAGAACTACAAAGAAGTTGAATTTATAAGGGAGAAAATGCACTGTATTTGGAGTCAGGGGACCTCAGTTTGAATCCCAGCTCTGACACTCATTACCTTGTGTGACCATAGGCAATTCACTTCACCAACGTGGGCCTCAGTTTCTTCATCTGCAACATGAAGACGTTAGGCTAGCTGGCCTCGGAAGTCCTTTCTGGCTCTACCTCTATAATCTTAGGAATTTATCCCAACTGCAATGTGCGCCTGCCTCGCCCAACCTGGACTGAGCTGCACTCGGCTCTGTCTATTCTGAGGTTTAAAATGCAATCTCATTCTCATCCAAGATTCCATAAATTTGTCACAATTGGCTCATTACTTTGCCCCCATCTGGAAATACAGGAAAATGTCCAAAACTATAGCTTGTGTCTCATTTCTCATTAAGATTCTTATCTTCTTTCCCACTTCTCATGACCCAAAAAGAAACATCTCCCCCATTATAGTTTAGAATATCCTTACTGCAAAAAATTATAATTAAAGACAATAATAAAACTGCCAGTGATGGCATACTGCTGAGGGAAGGATCTGCCATTTTCATACCCAGCAGCAGCTACCATACAGTGCCCAGTTAATGGTTAAATTCATATATTTGCTTTTCATGAGGGAAAGAACGCTACCAGAAGTTATTGGCAGAGGATAGCTAATGTTCACTCCTCCCTCTCCCAAAACATCAAAAGCACAGAATGGTAAAATATATTGTCTTATCACACCCTATGTGGCTCATTAAGCTGTTAATCAAAGGAGTCAGCTTCAGGGGATATATTCTCTTTTTCTTTTTTTTAATATTGTCTTTTCCTAAGAACTGCCATATGTTATCTGCCTCTTTCCATGACCATCTTCAATCTTTATTCAGCTGACAGCTTCATTATTTCTGTCTTTTCCCCTGGCAGGTCTCTTTGGCATCTTCAGCACACTGGAGGCTGTGGCCTCCAATCCCTCAGATTCCCAAGAGAGAGGACACTGCTACCCCAGAGGTATCAAACATACCTGGGCCCCAAATTAGATTAAAATGTAATTGGGAAATATTTAACAAAATAAATAAAAATGTAATAGAACATAAATAATGTTAATAGATGGTTTTCTACATCAATGTACAGTTTAGTGGCACCCATTACTATCTGATTTTGTTACTACTGCTCTACACTACAGGTAGAGTGATCCCTGTCCCTATAAAATGATGCTGAGCTTTGTAGGGTAAGTTATTATTGCTTGTAGTTATTTATCTTTTCCCTTTTTGATACATTGTGTTCCAATTTTTCCTTACTTTGCTTGTGTTTGTTGTATAATCTTGAGTGATCCTGACTATGGTTGCATAATATGTGCTCTGTTTCTTGCTTGTGCTATTTTTTCCTTAGACCCAGAAGCTCTGGAATTATTTTTCAGGGTATGGATAGAGCTCTGGGCCTGGAGTTAGAATTTTGTTGTTGTTCAGTAGTTTCAGTCATGTCCACTTCTTCATGACCCCATTTGGGGCTTTCTTAGCAAAGACATTGGAATGGTTTGCCGTTGCCTTCTCCAGCCCATTTTACAGATGAGGAAACTGAGGCAAACAGGGTGACGTGACTTGACCAGAGTCACACAGATAATAAGTGTTTGAGGCCAGATTTGCACTCAGGCAGATCAGATTTCCTGACTCCAGGCCCAATACACAGTGCCTGATACATAGCCGGTACATAATAAATGCTTATTCCCTTCCTTCCTCCTTACTTTTCCTCTTTCTTTAATTTCCTTCAGGGATATAGGCCTAGAAATGGTATGGCTAGATCAAAGTGTATGCAGTTTGGCTACGTTCTGGACGTAGTCTCAAATTATTTCTGGAACGGCCAACCCATTTCAAAGCTCCACCAGCAGCACATTAATTAATGTGCATGCTTTCTCACAGCCTCTCTAGTATTTGCCATTTCCCCTTTTTTTTTTAGTTTTACCCATCTGATAGGTAGGAGGTTGAAACTCATGGTTGTTTTGATTTGCCTTTTTCTAATTATTAGTGATTTGGAACATTTTTTCATATGGCTATGGATAGCTTGGATTTCTTCCTCTGAAACTTAACTATTCATATCCTTTGACCATTTATCAATTAGAGAATGGCTCTCTGTCTCATACATTTGAATCCTTATATATCTTAAAATGACAATGGCCCACGTTCTCCTAAACATGTGTTAAGGCATCTGTTACATCTGTATGTTGCCTCTGTCTGTGCGTGCTTCAAAGTCTCTCCAACAACCTTCCCATTACAGAAGCAAGCTCCCCAGACTTTTACAAGCAGTGAATTTGCATTACTTTTCTTACATATCTTAGAAATGAGATTTGCTGCAAAGATTTTTTTTCCCCATCTACATGCTTCTCTTCTAATTTTACCTGCATTTGTTTTGTTTGTACAAATACTTTTTAACGTTATGTAATCAAAGTTGTTCATTGTAATTCCTGTGAATGTCTTTGTCTCTGGCTTGGTCATGAACTTTGGTCATCTATCCATAGATCTGGCAGGTAATTTCTTCCTTGTTCCTCTAATTTGTTTATGATATTACTCTTTATGGGGGAAGAAGAAGGGAAGAGAATAAACATTTATCTAACATGTACCATGTGCCAGGCATTGTGCTAAGTGCTCTTCACAAATATTATCTCATTCATTCCTCACAGCAACCCTGCAAGGTAGGTGACCTGATTACATCACATAACCATTTGGAGTTTATCTTCTTTAGGGTGTGAGATGTTCTCCACCCCTGGTCTATACTTTGTTTCTGCCAGACTGCTTTCTAGTTTTCCCAACAATTTTTGTTGACAGTGAGTCCCTGCCCCCAATAACTTAGAACTTAGGTTACTGTGCCTATTTGCTTCTGTACCTAATCGTTCACTACTCAACTTCTTTATTTCTTAACCGAATTTTTTTGATGATTACTACTTAAGGAGCTTACATCCTAGTGGGGAAGACTGTGTAATAGGTATATACAAGATACATGTAGAGAAGATGGAACATAAACTTTATTCCATGAATTGCTCTGAACGAAAAATTCATCTGTCACCCTCTCACAATATGGGAATGAGCCTCTCAGCAAAAGCATTTTGTACGAGACAAATACCACTGGATGAACACTCAAAACTTTTCCAGTTTGGTAGGATCTGTTACAGGTTGTTCTCTGTGGCACACCCTTCGAGAACTCAAGGACATTCCCACTCCAAGACGATGTATCAAAGTAGAGCTTTAGGAATATCTTTTAATATTATCACTCATGAACCCCCATCCAGTGTGTTCTCTCATATCAATTACCCAGTTAATACCTCCCCAATATCACTGAACCAAATAACATCAATTAGCTTTTACCAAGGAATATTTACTAAATATTTACTATTTACTAGAGGTATATACATATAAAACATATATACTATACATTTACATGTATAATATAAAATGTAAAGAATGTATAATATAAAAATGTGTAGCAATAACAGTCTCTCAAACCTGAAGCACACTCTCCTCTGCCACCGTGATCTCTGGGAAGGATGAGCTAAAACTTAAGATGGTTGCTAACCATTCTGGAGAGCAATTTAGAACTATGCCCAAAAGGCTATAAAATTGTGCATACTCAAAGAATTGGAAATTGAGGGCATGCCAATAAAATGGGGAATGGCTGAACAAGTTATGGTATATGACTGCAATGGAATGCTATTGTGCTATAAGGAATAATGAGCGGGTAGACTTCAAAAAACCCGTAAAGACTTATATAAACTGATGCTGAGTGAAGTGAGCAGAACCAGGAGAACGCTGTAACACAGTAACAGTCACGTTGCGGGACGACTCACTTTGATAGACTTAGCTCTTCTCAGCAATGCAAGGATCTAAGACAACTCCAAAAGATGCACAATGGAAATTTCTATCCACATCCAGAGAAAGAACTATGGAGTCTGAATGCAGATGGAAGCACACTATTTGCTCTCTTTTTCCTTTGTTGTTTTGTTTTATTGCTTCATTCTTGTGGTTCCTCCCATTAGTTCTAATTGCTCTTTACATCATGACTAATGGGATAATATGCATATATAAGTACAGCCTATATCAGACTGCATGCTGTCTTGGTGGGGAGAAGAGTTAGGAAGGAGAGAAAATTTAAAACTCAAAATCTTACGGAAGTGAATGTTGAAAACTAAAATAAATTAATTAAAGATATATAGGCAATGGGGTATAGAAATCTATCCTGTCCTACAGGAAAACAGAAGTGGAAGGGGTTGGGGAGGGGGGGTTGATAGAAAGGAAGGCAGATTAGGGGAAGAGGTATTCAGAATGCATGCTATCTTGGGTAAGGGGAGGGGCAAGATGGGGAGAAAATTTGGAACTCAAAATCTTGTGGAAATGAATGTTGAAAACTAAAAATTAATCAGAATAAATTTATTTTTTTAAACTGTGCATACTCTTCGAACTTTGCAATCTATAACCCAAAGAGATAAAAAAAATAAAAATAAAAATAAAAAGGAAAAGGACCTATGTGGACAAAAACATGTATAGCAGCTCTTTTTGTGACAGCAAAAAATTGTAAATTGAAACGATGCCCATCAGTTGGGGAATGGCTGAATAAGTTGTGGTGCATGATTGTCATGGAATACTATTGTGTTATATGAGAAATGAGGAGAGGATGCTTGCAGAAAAACCTGGAAAGACATGAACTGATGCAAAGTGAAATGAGTAGAACCAGGAGAACATTGTATACAGTAACAGTAACATGGTATAATAATCAACTATGAATAACTTAGCTACTCTCTGCAATACAATGGTCCAAGACAACTCTGAAGGACTTATGATGAAAAATGTTATCCACCTCCAGAGAAAGAACTGATGGTGGCACGTTTTGGGGGCAGCTAGGTGGCACAGCGGATAGAGCACCTGCCCTGGAGTCAGGAGGACCTGAGTTCAAATCCAACCTCAGACACTTCACACTTACTAGCTGTATGACCCTAGGCAAGTCACTGAACCCCACTGCCTAGCCACCTCCCCCCAAAAAAAGCACTGAATCACACTTTTTCTCACTTTATTATTCTTGGGGGTTTTTTGTTTGCATTTTCTTTTGCAACATGGCTAATGTGGAAATGTTTTGCATGACTGCACGTGTATAATCTATATCAAATTGCTTGCCTTCTCAAGGAGGGGAGAGAAGAGGAAAAGAGGGAGAGAACACAGAACTCAAAAATTTTAAAAACAAATGTTAAAAATTTTTGTTTACAGGTAACTGAAAAAAAATAAATAAATACAGATTAAATGGAAAGTGGTTGCTACAAAACATTTCCCCATTAAGTTTCTTCTGCGTGGGACAAGGTTGTTTGGCTGCTGGGCCTGGGTCCTCACTCTACTCTACAAGCTCTGGTCATTAGGAGAACGTTGAGGGTTCCCCTGACCTTTATAAGCTCACAAGGTCACAACTGATCCATTCCTCCTCCAATATTCATTCACCTGAGATCAGGAAAGAATAAACACAAGAGATAAAAAAGAGACCCCATGCATTCATGGTCACCTAGCAGGTGAAGGGTGAAAATCAGGGAGCAAGCAATATTCTTACCTCACTTGCCTCCAGGGAAAAAAGAGTTCTCAGGGTAAGCCCAGTGTTTGTACACTCAGTTCCATCTCAGCAGCCAATTTAAAGACTTTTCATTAGCTCAGCAAGCCAACAGGAACACATCAGAGACTACCCATACCTGTTCTGAAACAGGGAGAGAAAGGGTCCTTCCCTCCCGCAGTTCTGAAAGCAGGTTTGCCAAGTCTCCCTGTGAAACAGCAATAGGCAGAGAATACTGTGTACGCAACACAGATTAGGCCCTCATCGGCCACGCCCCTCCACTTCAGCTATGATCCCATTTCACAGATGAGAACGTGATGCTTAGGCAGGTTAAGTGACTTGCCCATGATCACATAGCTAGTAAAATGAGGGCCTGGATTCAAAGCCAGTCCTTTCTGTCTCCATATCCAGCATTCTATCCACTTCTCCAGGCTATCTCTCTTTTATGAACTCCTATCTTCCTTTCCTACCTCCACAAGAAGTCAGATACAAGATATATATATCTATAGATAGATAGATAGATAGATAGATAGATAGATAGATAGATAGATAGATAGATATAGATATATACATTTAAACCACATAGAGAGCCATCTTAATGCCACATACAGTTCACATCTTGCATAGTAGCTCATATTTATGTAGCTCTTCAAGGTTTGGGGAGGGTTCGTAACAATCTTATAAGGTAGATGCTACTATTAGCCTCATTTTACAGATGAGGAAACTGAGGTTGACAGGGGCTCACATAATAAGCTGTAAGCATCTGAGGCAGGATTTGAACCTAGGCCTTCTTTCCCTTAAGACCAGTGCTCTGGGCACCCTCAGCATGGCCCCAACTCCACGGGCCACCAGAGTTTCCTCTCGCTGGGCCATCTGAGAGGTCAAAATGGCTGCTCCCCAGAGGAACACCTCAACATCCAGACATTGTCTAGTCTCAGACTTCAAGGGAAGGGTGAGGGAAAGGCAAGGTCAAGCCCAGAGTCACCCATGGAGCTAGACAGATGGAAGAACAGAATAAGAGGTCTCAGCTTTTTGCTCACCCATCGGTCTGGCTCCCTGTGTCCATCCCTCTGGAAAAAATGGCACCCTTGGAATAGGGGGTGAGGTTCTAAGCCCCTGACGGTTAGGGCCCACGTCTGTTCCACTTATTTGTGGCTCAGCCAATAGACTTGGCCTCTGGACTCACCTGACACAGTAAATGGAGTCTTGGCATTCCAACAAATAACCGGATGCCTGGGAGGAGCCCAGAATCCAAGCTGCAAAGGACGCCTACGACATGTGGGCAGTATGCTGGATTTGGAGGCAGGTTCAAATCTGTCCCCTGCTACTTACCAGCTGGGTGATCACAGGTAGGTCCCTTCCTCTCTTTGGGCACCAGCTTCTTCATCTGTCGAATGTTGATAACTGTCGTGGTGGCTACTTCACGGGGCAGTTATGAGATCGTGTGTACAAAGCGCATTTCAAACTTCAGGATGCCACTGATTATTGACTCAACCTGCCATGTACTTGGCCCCAAAGCCCCCCTGTAACACTCCCATTCCACTCTGGGATGACTCTAATTACTCAGACGTTTTTCTGACATCAGGTTGAAAGAATCTGCTTCTCTATCCTCCCACTCATTGCTCCTCATTTGCAAACAAAACAAATAGAATCTTTCTTCTACCAGACAGTCCTTCCATTCCTTGGAAACAGCTATCTTAACAAGACTGTCTCAACCCCCACCCTTCTCTTTTCTCCAGGCTAAATATCCCCAGAAACAATGTAGCCTAGTGAATAGAGTGCCAGCCTTAGAGTTGGGAAGGTCTGGGTTCTAATTAGATTCTGAAAGTCACTGTGTGATCCTGGGCAAGTCCATGAGCCTCTCTGAGCCTCCGTTTCCTCATCTGGAAAAGAGGGAATTGGACTGGATGACCTCTAAGGTCCCTTCTGGGTCTAGATCCATGATGGTTCTTCACCTTCCTCTGAGATGGTCAACATCATGGCGACCCTCCTGTGCAGGCTCTCCAGCCTCCTATAATAGTGTGACAAAGAGACAGGGAGGAAAGATGGGGGCTGGGGGAAATGAGGATACAGAAAGAGCTTTGCCCTGTGACACAGTCCTGGAGGAACAGCCAAGGGCACAGGGAGGAAAGATTGGCACTGGCAAGGGAAGAGCCTTGCCCTGTAACCCAATCTAGCCCAGAGGGTGAGTCAGAGTCATCTGCCACCTCACCCTGAACAGAGCCCTGAACTCACCCAGGGGACAAAGACTAGAAAAACCCTCCAATTCCAACCTGGCTAGTGTCCGTGGATGGGTATATCTGGTGGGTGGGAATGGGATAAAGTGGAGGCAGGAGGTGGGACAGGAAGGTTAATGGGCCCTGTCTCCCTCCCATTTCTAAAGAAACAAAAACAAGTCTGCCTATCAGCATGCCTACCTCCCGGTTATCACGAATCTCTGTGTGTCAGGGGGGATGCAAGGGTGCACATCTGGGGACTGATTAACTTTGGGTCTCAGCCTGAACAAGCAGAAGGGCATGCAGGACCACAACAGCTCCATGCTTCTCCCACCATTAGAATTCAGCCATTCTTTGGAATGGCCTGGTTAAAGGGCACTCATTGGCAGAATCTAGCCAAGGACACGCAAAACCTCTTGGCCGAGGCACACCTTCTCCCACCCTGGCTTACAGCCACAACTGGCAACCTTTCAGAAGGAGGTGTCAGGGTGCTGAGTCCGGTTCTTTTCACCTGGGAGAGCATTGGGACTGTAAAGAATGAGGGACAGAGCTCTGACTCGGAGTTCTCACTCCCTAGGGCAAATTCAAGTGGGGTGAGGAGGAGCGGCAGGGGAGCTGGGGCACGGTCCAAGTGGGAGGGATGTGTGGTAGGATGACACCTGAGGAGTGGGATCCCTGAGTTACTGCTGGAAGGGTACCTGCCATGAAGCATGAAGGAACATGAGGAGAAAGTCTCTGTGGGCCCACCCTAGTTTTGGCTCTGGCCAAGAAGGTACCTAGAACAGAGCTAATTAAAACTTCATTAAAAGCTCCTCCTTAAAAATGTGAATACCAAGGAGAAGGCTAAAGCCCATTTATACTTGTGCATTAATTGCTTTAGTCAGATTGTTTAGGGGCAGCTAGGTGGTATGGTGGATAGAGCACTGGCCTTGGAGTCAGAAGGACCTGAGTTCAAATCCAGTTTCAGACACATGACACTTACTAGTTGTGTGACCCTGGGCAAGTCACTTAACCTCAATTGCCTCACCAAAAAAAAAAAAAGGCAGATTGTTTAATTCCTAATACCCACATGAAAGAGAGACAGTGCTGCCTAGTGAATAGAGAGCCAGCTGAAGTCAAGAAGACCAGGGTTCATGTCCTACCTCTGGCACAGACTGACTGAGTGATCCTGGCCAAATCCATCAATTTCAGAGAAGGTGCAGGTCTACATTGGCATGAAAAGTTTCCTTAACATGAGTCTTCCCAGGGCAGCTAAGTGGTACAGTAGATAGAGCTCCGGCCTTGAAGTCAGGAGGACCTGAGTTCAAATCCAGCCTCACACGCATAACACTTACTAGCTGTGTGACCCTGGGCAAGTCACTTAACCCCATCGCCTAGCAAAACAACAACAACAACAAAAAAAAACAAAACATGAGTCTTCCCATCAATGAAATCACGGGTCTAGTCCCATCTCATCTCCAGCTACCTGAAATCAAAGCGTGGGAGTTTGGTTAAGGAGGAGGTACCATTTTGGAACACAGAGGAATGGTATGTTAGACCTTCGAGGAACCTTATAGATCAGCTAGCCCAATGTCCTCATTTTACAGATGAGGAAACTGAGGCCTGAAGAAGTGACGTTACTTGCTCAAGGTCACACAGCTAATTTTTGCCAGGTCTGGAATCAGGATCTCCTAACTCTTGAAACCCAGTCTCCTCATTTCTCATTGAGTCTTCTTTCTATGCTCCATCTCCTGGGTCCAGATGTTTTCACTGGGGGTCCTTCAAGCCTGGAATTCTCTTCTTCCTCCTCTCTGCCTCTGGCTTCTCTGGCTTCCTTGAAGTCCCAGCTAAAATTTCATCTTCTGCAGGGAGCCTTTCCCAATCGCCTTGAATTCCAGTGCCACCCCTCTGTCGATTATTTCTTATTTATCTCATAGATATCTGGTTGGTACACAGATATTTGGATGTCGCCTCCCCCATTCGATTGTGAGCTCCTTGAGGGCAGAGAGTGCCGTTTGCCTTTCTTTGTATCTGCAGCACTTAGCACAGTGCCTGGCACACAGTAGGTGCTTAGTAAGGGTTTACTGACAGACTGACTAGATTCCAAGTCTTGCAGTTTTTAAAGAGGCATCCTGTTCTGGGTGTGCAGCCAATCAAAAGAGACTATTCTCATCCACATAGCAGAAAAACACAACCTGCCCTTCCCCAGAAGCAGGGCCTCCATGTCAGACTATCTGGGCATGCTCCAAAGCCCCCATTACACAAGTACCTAATAAATTCAACATGTAATTTCAAAACTGTCCTGCTTATCTGTGTTTCCTTCTGGCCTTCTTCCTGCTCTCTTTGGTGAATTTTTTTTTTTTTTGCTTTTTTTGGTGAGGCAATTGGGGTTAAGTGACTTGCCCAGGGTCACACAGCTAGTAAGTGTCAAGTGTGTGTCTGAGGCTGGATTTGAACTCAGGTCCTCCTGACTTCAAGGCCAGAGCTCTGTCTACTTCACCACCGAGCTGCCCCTGTGAATTCTTTTAAAAATATTTCAATGATCCTCTTTTCTTTTTTCTTTCTTAAGGCCAGACCTCCTGTGCTCCCATGTTCTCCTCCCACCCCTCATTTTTTTAAAGAAAAAAAAACCTCTCATAACAAGTCTCTCTAGTCAAACAAAATAAATTGGCAGTATCTGAAAATGTTACCCATTCTTCACTCTGAGTCTACTACCTGTCAGGAGCAGGAAGAGGAGGGAGGGAATAAGCATCTCTTAAGTGCCTACTGTGTGCCAGGCACTTTACATATATGATCTAATTTGTCCCTCACAACAATCGTGTGAGTTAGGTGCTATTATTACTCCCATTTTACAGTTGAGGAAACTGAGGCAGACAGAGGTCTGATGGGAACTTAGGACTCTCTGACTCCAGACCCAGCACTCTATCTAGTGAGTAATTAATCTAGGGGAATAGCACCCTTCATTATCTAGAATCATGGTGGGTCATTGCATTGATCAGAGTTCTTAAAGAAAAGGTTGTTTTCTCATCTTCAACCTGAAGAAGGTTGAGGTTGGGAGGCCATAATGGGGCCTAGGCTTTTCCCTTCCCTCCAAGTCAGGGTCATGGTGGGTCAAGATAAATGGGGTCTGGGGAATCTACCCCTAAAAGGTTTTTTTTTCCCCTGGCACTCACTTGGATTTTTGTCCCTCACGTGAAAATTACACCACATAATTGCAATTAAATTAATTAGTTTTGGGACCTAGGGCAAACCAGACGACCTTATTTGAACTAGGTCACTAGACTAGAAAAGACAGAGGAATGCCTGCGACAAAGTATGCCTGATTTCATCAAAACATTTGACAAACTCTGTTTCATACACGAACCTTCAGAGAAGAAGTCCACCGTACTCTGCACCTCTGGTCCCAAACAGAATTAGGAAGCTGAATTCAGTGATCTCAGCACCTGTCTTCTGCCTCTTTTGTCTATCCCCAGCACCTAGCACAGTGACTGGCTAGTACTAAGCACTTAGTAAACGGTGACTGGTTGATGAGCTGTTTAAGATGTGAGTTAGATGATAGGACAATTAGGCTGACTCGGTACTGGACCAAAATGAGTAGGTGTTAATAGGTCAATGACAATTTGACTTTTAAGGGCAGTGGATAGAGCACCAGCCCTGTAGTCAGGAGGACCTGAGTTCAAATCTGACCTCAGACACTTCTTATCTTAGCTGTGTGACCAGGGGCAAGTCACTTAACCCCACTGCCTCAAAAACAAAAATTTGCAAATGACATGAAGTTGAGAGGGAAAGCTAATAGGTAACACAACTGGGACTCTTGAGAGCTTAGAATGGTGAGCTGAATTCAATGCAATGAAATTTAATTCATCTAGGTATTTAGTTCAATAGTTTAAAAAAAAATTAGGGGGCATCTAGGTGGCACAGTGGATAGAGCACTGGCCTGGAGTCAGGAGG